AGCCTCTGAGTAAGACAGGATTAGACTAAACTGAAGCTTGTTTTTGAATCTAAAATTGTCAGCCAACTCAGCACGCAAACACACATTAACGAAGCTGTTACAGTATCCAGAATAACTGAATCATACTCTAGTTTATTTACAGTGACAAAAGTTGTGACCAGATCCGCTCCCCTGCCTACATCACTTCGACCTACTTATATGCATGTAGGACAAGCATACCTCAGCCAACCATGGACTGCCTCATTAAGATCACAAAGTAAGGTATAAGAGTAAGTAGGATCTCAGCTGGCAAGCTTTCTCGGTTTCGTGTTTTTTGCGATTTTTCGTGAATAATGTTTTCTGTCTCTGACGATGTCCGTCACAGGACAGACGAAAGCTCAGCACGGAGTCATCGGGGTTGTAAGACGGTGAGGCAAGGTCTTCTTCACGCAATTCATCAGACAAAAGTTCAAGGCAACCCTTTTGCGATATCCGATGAGGCCAATCTACGAATCCCTTCGACCCGCCTTCTCAAACGTACGCCAAAATTAATATATTAAGGGATTCTTCGAAACCAAGCTTTTCTTCATATCATTAAACTAATATTAATATAAAGTAGGTTCTAGGAACTATCACCATCTTGCACGATCTAAGGTGACTGAAGCTCTCCTCCAACGAACGTTCCGTTAAATCTATGTAGACGGAGCTTTGGTTGCTTCCTAGTAGCATACGGACTTTGTCCGAGCAAATTTTGAATCAGCCACAAGCTGTGTCCTAATGCAGCACCTGATCATGATGACTCTACTGCATATCTATAGCAGGAATCAAATTTTCACGATTTTTGGGTTCCCGCCAGCCCCTCCCAAGCTTCCTTTATTAATTATATACGTACAAACTGCATCAGTAATGCTACTACCTGGCTGTCTACATTTTTCGAATATATAAGGTCTCTACACCACGTTATTTCCTATTCTTACCAACGGTCTTAGGTTAGACTCTGTAAATCATCGCCTATCAGTGAGGTGTTTGCAATTCATAAAAGAATAGCCTGTTAGATGTTAAAGCAAAAAATGACTAAATTGCCATTCAGATGATTAATTATGCCGCAAAAATAAAGCCGTCTATGGCCCTGCATCCAAACCTTGAAACTAAGCTCTGGTGAATAAAATTTAGGTAGTATGGCAAGAATTAGTAATTAAAAAATAAAATTCCTAAACCAATGGATATAAAAATATCCAAATATTAGAATAAAGCAATTTCAAGAGGAAAATTACTTCATGAGACACCGTGGCATTCTTGGGCAATGACAACACCTGAGCGGCCTGCAGCACGTTACCGGCGTAAACGGTGACATGAGATCTGATAGCAGGCCAAAGAGGTGTGCATTGAACAGTACCAGAAAAGGAGCTTGACTCAGAAGCCACACGACACCGCTGACCAGAAGCAGATAGGCCCGCTCGATTAGAAATCGATGGTGCGTCTAGGTTAAATGTGCAGATCGGCCGGTTCGACGACAAGTCAGATGATGCCGTAAACTCTAGGCTAGGTGCGCTTGGAAGCATGGTTGGAGTTGTGATTGCAGATGAGGCGCCAGGAAAGCAAGACGGCAAGCGGAGGTGTAAGAGAGAGGAAATTACAAATGACCATACGACACCAGAGTGAGCCGGCCCGCCGCATGTGGGACAGGAGGGACCAATGAACTCTACTAAATCATCGGGCACTGAAAACGGAGATGGAATAGTGGGTGCTCGATCAAGTAGAACCATGCCGCGACGGATGGTGAGAGTTTGGTTCGAGAGAGATTTTACTTAGATGGTAAAAGATGAGACAAAGGAATATAAAGTATCACACGAATTATGAGTAATCTAAATTTATGATATTAAAAAAAGAAAATATCGTCAGATTCAATGATAAGGTGTTGATTTTAAAAAGTAAAGTTTCAATAGGATTCGACTAAGAAGCTCATTATAATGGCGCAATATCTTAATGTGGCGTAGTGGTTAATGTGTCTAGATTATATGGTGCACTAAGACCGTTCGAGTCTTGCTGGGGGTGTTGACGATACTTATGCACGGTTGAAACTACAATCCACCCTGATTGAGAATATCTTTTGAGAAGAATGGCAATTTGAAATTTAATATAAACGTAATGCTTAGTCATATTATTGTGGGAAAATTCAATTACTTATCCTTCATTGCCATAAACGAAATGGGATTAATAAAGATGCTATAGGAAAGAATTATTGCTTAAAATTGACCAAACTCCGATCTTACGTCTGGATCACCACTGATATGAGAAAAGGTTTATACAATAGACATGAGTTTATAGTATTCGGAATTAAAGAATCAGGATATTTTAAGAAACAGGAGCGGAAGTTGGGAAAATATTGCCCCATCAATTCTTTAGAGATTCATGCTATGGTGGTCAGATAATTAATGATGATAATTTAAAAGCGTCTATCCTGTTTCTATCCACAATACCAAGTCTATGACTTCCTATGCCCTAGTCTTTTATGTGCCAACCCCCAAATGTTGTGGTTCAACACTGAACCTAATCAAAACAAGTAGAACCACAACATTTGTTGGTTGGCACACAAGAGAGTAGGGTATAGGAAATCATAACTTGGCACGATAGATACGGCGAAGACTAAATCTAGTTGGCTGACAATAGACGTATTTGATCAAAGACGTGGCCTATGTAGCAAAGGCTTGACCATGAGAATTACTCGGGGTTTCTAGCCTCAAGTTATTCTCCCAGAGACAGAGTGTGGGAAATAACACCTCGGGTGGCACAGATGGTGTGACAGGGGTCGAGTGAAATACTTGAAACAGCGAGATAGCAGACGGATCCTACGGAGCAAGAGGGAGACTCTGATAAGACCTACGGAAGAAGGACGGAGTAACAATAGGGCAGACTCTGATCAAGATTCCCAGCACAAGAATGAAGGGGGTGAGAGGGCCAGCGTGGAGTGTAGAGATTTCTCATGAAAGCCGCTTAAAAAGGCACATATTACATTTAAATAAGCAAATTAAAACGTGTGATAGTGAAGGCGTAATAAAAGGATATAGGATTGGTGATTAACCCAGGGGGTAAGGAGAGATACCAGGATTATTTAGCAGAAAATTGGTCAAAGGATCGTCCTTACTTGTCTCTTTGACGAGTTGTAGTGTGGTGTTAAGAATGACAAGATTCATTGACTGTCGACTACAATGCCTGCGAAACGTCTGGAAATGTACCACGTCCACTGTCAACTCTAGAAATAATCATGCATACAAAGGACTCCGGACTAGGTGCGTTCCTCTAAGTCTTTTTACCAATATGACCAAGCTGCGAAAACAAAGTCAAACAACTTCTAAAATCAGATGGTTTTCTATAACTTTGCCAGAGCAATATGATCTACTTGGAAGGAGCTTAATTAAATAAAGCTTTCCAAATATGCTAGAAAATCATTTTCGATGTGCTAAAGCTTATCACTGCAAATTTTCGGATACTTATAGGAGAGCTGAGTCAATAAGAAAACGAACTGGTTAAGTTAATACGAACCATTTCAAATCATAGAGCATCGGATCTGTGAGCTTTAATCGGGGATACGTAAGGCGAAGAAGATCGAATTTATAAGGAATAAAAATTTAGCAGACATGAACAAAGGCCAGGTTTCGAATAGTCCCTTA